GACTTGAAGAATATGGCAGTTGGTGATGCTGATATTGATGAAGTGCTTGAAATAATAGACTGATGTGGCTCTTTGCTCATTGCTGACTTGCTGTTGCCACTTGCCAGACTTGCTACTGCCTTGCTCTATCACTGCTTTTGCTGCTGACCTGCTGTTATGATGCTGCTGCTGCCCTGCTGCTTGTTGCTACTTGGTCTATGCTGCTTGTTGCTACTTTTTTTACTGCCTTTTAGAACTTGGTCTATGCTGCTTGTTGCTACTGCTGTTAAACAATTGTTAAAGTTGTAATGTTGAACAATTTTTTTTTTTTTTGGATGAAGTGTTGAACTTTTAAAACTTTGAATTATAACTTTGAAGTTTTAGAACTTGTTAATGTTGTTTAAATCTCATTAAGCATTTATGCTACTACATATGTTGATGAATATAATATTTATATGATTTAAGCCCACAAAAATTGCAGATTAAAGCCCAAATAAACAAGGCCCAAAAAAATTCGGTTTGGTTCGGTTTTTTCTTTTGAAACCGAAATTTATATGGTTTGGTTTGGTTTGGTTTCAAAAGTAAAGTGGTGCGGTTTGGTTTCCAAAAACCAAAAACCGAATTAGGGTGGTTCGGTTTCGGTTTGGCCTATAAACCAAACCGAAAACCGAACTTTCACCCCTAGTGTCGTCCTTCCCCTTTTTTCGCCCAGGCGGATGGGTAAATCCACTCGTTCCACTGGGTGGACGACTCCTCCTCCAAACCCTACTAAAGGGTGGTATGCCGGATGTATGCAATCATTCTGATATTTGAGTTTTGACAGACATTTGCTACTGATAAGATCTGAGGAGCTTCCGGTATCTATAAGGATTCGGCCAACTCTCTGGTTGGCCACTTTACATTCAATAACGATAGGGTCGTCATGAGGCCCTCTTACCCCTCCTAGATCTTCTTCAGTGATGACAATCTCAGAAATGAATATTTGGAGGGCCGTTCTTGGTGAACGGAATTTACATCTAACCGTCTGATATTGTCTTTGTTGCCCCTAATAGTGGGGCCGCCTCCTGAGAAGCCGCCTGCAATGGTGTAGACGACTGCATCATCTGTATCGGAGCTGTCGGCCTGTTGATTCTTTTTGGTCGACTGCTTTTTTGAGGAAGTGTTCCCCGTAGATTTCTTGACATAAGTGTCAAGATCACCTTGCTCAGCCTGATGCATTCATTGGTGTGATGACCTGATGCATTCAATGGTCCAGATACCGCATGAGACTGATGCATTCATTGGTGTGATGACCAACATCTTCATGATAAGCACAAAATTTTTCTTGGTTCCGGTTGTTTGCAGAACCCTTCATGGGGACCGGCTTCTCAATTGAGATTCATCCCTTGATTTCCTTTAGGATAAACTGACTATCCTTGTTAAACGCATACTTTGGGGAGTATGGTTTGAACTCTTTTTTCTTTTTCTGGGCCGGCTGTTTAGAGGAATCAGCCGCCCAGACCTCTTTTCTCTTCTCGTCTTTGTTTGACGACTGTTTCTGTCGTCCTTCTCTTTTGTCGGACCTTTTCCCGTCTGACTGTTTTACCGTACTACAAAGATCAGTCGCCTGTATATAGGCTTCCGCTTCAATCAAGGCCTCTTGAAGAGTCGCCACCCTCTTTCGGACCAAATCAAATTTGAAGGTCGACCCGTCTTTGAGACCTCTGAAAAAGTCAGTATAGGCTACTTCATCCGGTAACCCTTGAATCTGTATTCTCATCAGGTTAAACCGCCTGATGTAAGAACGAAGCCCCTCCTTCTCGCCCTGCTGAATTGTTCCTAAATCAAGGGTCGTCTTCTTCGCAGGGATGTTCATGGCGAAGTTGGAGGTGAATAAGTAAGCAAGCGTCTTGAAGTTATTTACACAACCAGTCGGCAGGTTGCCGAACCATTGTTGTGCGATTCCTTTGAGAGTCGTTGGGAAACACTTGCACCAAGTGGGATCATCCAACCCTTGAAGGTACATCAGGTTGGTGAATGCCATCAGATGGTCTTCTGGGTTAGTAGTGCCGTCATAGGCGCCTACTAATACATTTTTCACTTTGGCCGGCTGAGCGGCTTCAGTAATTTCCTTGGAGAAGGCCGACGGCTGTTCACCAAGTCTAAGCAACCGTAGCTACCAGTCCATAGGTTGGACATTTTTTGCTGCATGTCCACCAAACGGAGGTGGCTGTAAAAAATACTATTGTTGCGGTACAAACGGTAAGTTTGGTACCGCCTGGTCGCTATGAAAGACGGACTGACGGGAGGTGCCGCCTGACTGACTCTCACGATACGACTGAGTATGCCTCATTGAGGTATTTCGCAGACTGTCTTGGAAGTTTGAAGTAGAGGCCGACTCTGACAATCGGCTACTCTTCTTCTGCTCTAGCAGTAGCCGAGCGTCTGTGTATGTTTTCCTCGACCCGTCCGCCTGAATATGACGAACAGGTTTCCTATTTCCTGGAGTAGGAAAACGGTATTTTGTGAAATCAAGGGCAGGTGGCTCCCACTTCCTAGATTTAGGATGAGGGGTCGCCTCTCGCCCTTGAACTGGTTTCCTCTTCAGTGAAGTGGAGGGTTTCTTAGCCGAATGCTCCTTGTCCAGAGCAGGCGGCTTCTTGTTGATCAACTCTTGAATTTCTCCCTTGAAGTCCCTCATGAAGGTCATGAGTTCGTTCCTTGTGATGGGAGCAGACCCATCAGTCGGCTGCTGCCGAACAGGCGGTGCGCCTGCTGGCTCACTTCCAGTTTGAAGATGTTCCTGTTCCCTCCTTTCGGTATGACGGGTACGTCGGGCCCTTAGGGTCCCGTCTGAAGCTGTGTGAGCTTCAACTTCAAATTCATTCTCAGTATCGTGGTCCGACTGAAGTAGAGGGTCGTCCAGGGGACGTCTCTCTTCAGGAGCCGGTAAAAACGTGGATGCCATCTCAGAAGTACTCTCCCCACAGACGGCGCCAAATGTTTCGGGGTTTTCTGATGTCCTGCGGGAGAGTTACAATTCCGAGACTGGAACCGGACGCCTGTACCTGCAAAACAAACGGATGCTCCGGATGATTGGAGATCCGCCTCCGACGGTCAAGTTAGTACTTGATTAAGGAGTAATTAATGCGGAAATTAAAGTGATTGGGTCTCTCTAGGTGAGAGTGTTTAATGTGTGTAATCTGCGTTTTAGCGTAATCTCCCTTAATGAGGATTAAGGGAGGTATTTATAACCTCGGGAAACGTGTCAATCTAGGTTTAGGTTAACCTTGGGCTGATTGGGCTTCCCTCGGAAGTTGGGCCTAGGTGACCGGTTATCCCAGGTGTCATGGGAAGGACACGTGTCGTGTCGTAATTGGTCCATAGTGGACGGATCATTGCTTGACACGTGGCAGGCTCCTATTGGCCCATGTGACGGACACATGGCGGAACCTGATTGGTCCACTTGTCAGATGGTGATTGGTGGGGAAAAATCCCCTAATCAGGGTGAGTTTAGGTATTTTATGAATCAATTAAGAATTTCCGATACCTTAATATAATTCTGCCTATATGCCAAGTTGGTGCTAAAAATCATCTGTTGCGCTTATTGATTTTGAATGCAATAGAATTTCGATATAGCTATATACTTGAACCACACTTTATTCTGAGACTTAATCGACCTATTGAAAGGCATGTTATTGTTCCAAACCAACATATGACCTCGGGGGGGTTATTTTGAGACTTAATCGACCTATTGAAAGGCATGTTATTGTTCCAAACTAACATATGACCTCGGGGAACGCTCCTCAATCCCCACATTTACTTCGATTATGAAAAAATAAAATTTGAAATTGGTACAAAAGCGTGGATTATAGCCTTCAATTTGGAACAATTTTTTACTTGTCAAGTTCAAAAGGGAAAGAGGTTGAGGTGCTTTACATGGACCATGGACTCTACGCAACCCCGAGAGGCCATTTGGGCAACTAATATTGTTCACTTTGCCTTTAAACTGTCAATTTTGCCTTTATTTGACCGACCTTCCTTCATTAACTCAAGTCCACACTGAGCCTTTGTGTGACCAACTAATGGATGCGTATGGTTCTAAACCACAATTATGGGACCCTAGGATGCATCCGCTACCATCCCTTGAGTATTTGACACTAAGTCCTTAAATCTCTTAAATGGTCTACTCTTCTAGTTTATAACCTTTAAATTTGGTTTTCAAAAAACATTTTTGGGCTCTACAAGGTTTTGCGTCAACGCATTCCCTGAGGTTCCCAAATGACCCTGGCAGGCCTACTTGGTGCTTGGAACCCTCTCTCGGGGCCCAACTTATGATAAGGATCCCGTATCTAGCAACCCAACTTGTTTTTCCTTAATTAGCAGGGATCTCATGGTTCCTATGCCTTTCACATTTCTGGGCATAGTTAGTTTGCTTGTTCTGAAGAAGGAAAAACGTAGCCAGTAGCATGAATCAAAGCAGATAGAGTAGTGTTACACTTCATAGCATCAGCCATCAGGTGACCAAGTTTGCGATCCTAACTGTGCAGTCCAATAGCACTGATAAAGTAAAATACAAATAAGGGGATTAAGGGCTGTGGCATTCAATCATATTGCAAAAAAATCCCAGAATTTTTAGAGACACCCAGTGTTTAGCCAAAAAAATCCAAGTATTGGGTATGCAACCTAGAAATGCATATGCTAAATACCGCCCTAAATTATTTGACATTATTCTATTTACGTAGTATAAATTTTTGCTCCTCCCCTGTCAAACCCTCCCTGCACGCCCTCTACCACTGCCGCCGCCAAAACCATTCAGAGCTCACCCCTACCACCACTAAAAAGACTCGAAGTAACGTAATTTAATTTAAAGAAGACACGTTATATTTGTTCTTTTGGTATTGTAACAATCACAAGGGACTTGGTTGTGGAATGTAATGGCTTGGACTACAAAGCTAGATTAGTAGATTTCATCACAAATGCCAAAGACACAACACCCTCCTTGTGGAAAAGCCGAAAAAAACATTCATTCACACTAGAGATAAGCTAATAAGTAAAATATCCAATTGCTTCAAGTTAATTTATTGCATATTCACCTGAAAATTTCAATAAAATACAATACTTCTAGCACCAAAACTTTCCATACCCTGTGATTTTCCCTTTGTACAGAACAAATACTGCTTATAAAAAATAATTGTTTTCCTTTATTTTCTTCATTAGCTCTGATTAGCGTCGTTCTTGCTGTGGTCATCTAACCAAGAGATAATATCATCAAATACGCGGAAAATAACTTCATCTGGCTCCCCTTCAAGGAGTGAATGGTAAGCATCCTTGTAAAGAATAAGATTTTTGTCTTTGCTGCTTGCCTTCTCATACAATGCCTTGCTAACTGATGGATCTGTTACTACATCAGCCTCTCCATGTAGGATCAACAACGGCAATGAGACCTATTCAATTATTAACAAGATAAACAATCTGTAAGATTACAGAAAATACTCAATGGCCTACTCTTTTTATAAGCATAATACTAGCTGGAGGACTAAAATCTCATGGAAGTTGCAAAGTGATATGAACATCAGTGTTTGTACAAAAATCGATAGGAGCCATCAAAATTTGCACGCAGAAAATGTCATTTTATTTCTCCTAAAAAAGCACACCATTTTATATAAAATACATAAGATTACAAAGCAACAGAAATCACATACTTCTTCCAGTCGACAAGCTATCTCATCTGTTGTGTGAAGCAGCTCAACAGCTGTCTTCAGACGTGGTTTATCCTTGTAAGCAATGACATTATAGTCTGCCTGAACTCAAGAATGTAGACAAATATATATTTAGTGTTCTGCACTAGTGCCAAGAGTTAGGAAAATGGGATGCAATAACAATTTGGAACAACCGAGGGGAAAAAGAGATTTGGTGGGGGGGGTTACCGTTTCTTTCTTCTCACGGAATGCCAAATCAGCTAAATCTTTTTGTGGAACCATTTTCGATTTGGGAAGAAACTTTGCTATTGTAAGTAAAATTTGGACCACGATAAATGGGGGGTACATGTCATCTGCAATCTACACAAGAGGAGAAGAAAAAAAAAAGGCAGCAATTGTCAGTAATGCACAGGTTTAATAGCACTATGTATATGTTGATGCTTGTAAGAATTTCATGAAAGAAAAGTACTTTGCACATCGGTGCCAATAGAACAGCGCCATTCCAAGCATTGGGTTGCTTAAAGTGCACCTTTAGAGCCACAGCCCCACCCATTGATTGTCCAAACAAAAAGCTTGGACGGGCACGAAACTCTAGTCTTTCTGCTACAGAAAATTAAGTGGTCAGCAGCTTATATATAGGCAATACAGCTAGAAATTTTTGAAGGAAATCAGATGGTTCCAGTCAGTGATTATCCATGAAAGTATCGCATTGAATTAATAATCCATAGAGACCCCATGAATAGACAAAGCAAGAAAATGAGATGACCAATGGACCATAACATTGTATTATTATCACAAGATAATGAACACTGCCATAAACATTATCCTGAATTGACAAGGTGACCATTGTAATATTGTATTGATTATCCATATAGAATAACAAGAAAAGAGATTCTGAAAGCAAATGGAGATAATTGTAAATTATTACAGGAAAATATGCTTTTGATTGAACTCGTAGGAATCTCTGATGAGAAAAGATAATTCCACAATCAAAACTTCAAACACGTTGCATAGGAATTTTGACTCTTTCAAACTAAAATGTTGCAGACTATAAAGATAGAATGTTCTTTTTTTTTTTCTTCACCAAAATAATATCCAATAAATGAAAGAAACAGAAGGCTGAAAAGTAAGAAGAAAAAGAATGAGTAAATTAAAAAACACGAGTGACAATGAAGATCAGAATGTTTTCGCTTTTTCTCCACTAAAATGATAATCAGTGAATGAAAGACATAACACGAGGCTGAAAAAGAAAGAATCAACGAGCAAAATGATTTATTCTCTTTCCATTGAACTCATAAGAAAGGCCTAGATGTACAAGTGTCGTCCTGTATTGCTTAATGCTTATAGCATATTATGATGGAATCTCTTTTGGCCAGGTCACCTTCTACCTTTCAATACATTAAGTTAGAAAGGCAAGAACTGATTATGGGATGCAAATATCAACATGAAGCATCAAAATTTATCTCAAAACCAGCCAAAAGATCCAGGCAATACAGTAAGGGAAAAAAAAATCCTCTGAAGAGTGCCATATTAGTGTCCGTAATTACCTTTAACTTTGGAATAATACTCGACCACATCATCAACGAGCTTATCAAAGCTTTCAATATAGCAATGAAGACCATCTGAAAGGCCAAAACCTGGATAATCCATTGCACAAACCCCATATCCAGCTGATGCCAGCTTTCTAGCAATTCCTGCAAACTAACAAAGTAGAAAGATTGAACTTTTACCATCAAGATAATTTTCTATTTTAATTATGAGAACTTATGATGAATAACAACCCAAATATTAACCCAATGGGAAACAAGATACATGCCTTCGAAGAAAAACGAGCAAGTGTCTCCATAGCCATGACAATAACAAATTAATGCTTTTGGAGGAGACGACTCTGGAAGCCAAGTTTTGGTGAAAATTTCCAAACCTCTTGAGTTCTTTTCATACTTCTGTTCCATGAAAAAACAACAAATTATCTTCAATTACATATTACATTGCACAAAAAGAGGGAGTATTAGATCAAAAAAATTATACAACCAAGGGAGGGGATGCCATTTTTTGGATTCTATTTTACAAGTACTTTCCACCAGTGTGAATTGATACGAGGGTATGATGACTGTGATCAATCAGCCTACTGTTATGCAGCTTGCTAAGTGCTAACAGGGATGATAATTATGCAAATGTCCCTTACAGCTTGCTACCACTTTGCTCGGGACCTAAAAGTTCTAGTGTGTATAGCTTACATGTTTTTATTTAGATTATAGCAGAAGCAGCGATACCCATGTAAAACAATTCGTCTGATAGATCAATTTTCATGTGGGCTGGCTTAACCATTGAATAACCAAGACTATCAAAATGTTTTTTGCAAAAAGACACAAAAATGAAAAATGTTTATCTTTAAGTTGAAACTATTACACAAGTCCAAAACTTGTTGCAAGTAAGTAGTTAAACTTAAACATATATTACTATACTCAACAATTACCAAGACTCTCAACTTAGATTGACTATTTTTAGGTTAGCATGGTGTTCCTCCCTTATTTCTTTTTCTATTTTTTTCTTGCTAGGGGGTTAGAAGAAGGAGCTTTGGACACGTTGAAAGATTCAAGAGTTTTGAACAGATAGTGATAGATAACAGTCATTACCTCTTCCATCTTCAAACCCTGAGTTGGAATCTGTAGCATGTAAGAAGGAACGAAAACATAAATATCAATTAAAAGATGTCTCATGTACCAATACGTAGAAAAAGATTAAAAGAAAACTCCAGCTTCTGAAATCAATAAGCAACATATTTAACCCATCATAAATCCTCAAAATTAAATATTGGCAATGGATTATAATCAGCAACAGAACAAGCACAACCACAACATCAATAAAATCGTAACAACTCACAAGTAATGTGAAACTTCCAATAACTCGGGGAAAACCTAAGCTTCTACCATATGGATGATGAGGTACAATCCCAAATAAAGCACTAACTTAGACTGTAAGCTAGAATGTATACTCATGTAATATGTTATTAGTAAGAATCCAAATGACTAAAAACAAGTAAGCTATCGATGTTTGTGCTTTACTCCATTCAGCAATCAACCAACCATCATGTACCGATTCCATAAACAATCTAATACTAAATGACACTCTATTGACTTTGAGTGACACTCTAATTATAGGTTCGAGTACCGTGAATCCGTGATCATAGTGAAAGTCCAAATGCCTAAAACAACCAAACCATTGATGTCTATACCACTACTCCTGAATTATCAAAGATTCGGGCAGAGATAAACCACCACAAGGCAGTGAAGGCACCACTTACATATACATCTAATACTCCGTTCATCCCACTAAGATTGCCCTACTTGACCATCAAATGAAGTAATCGTACTGGACCGACGGAAGTACTTAGTAAGTTAGTACGAAGTATTACTTAGTGACAGTGTGACACAGTGTTGACTTTGTGGGGCACAAGTACACAAGATCAACTACTTTTGGTCCCATTAGAAAAACAATCACCAAGGTGCATATAATGTCATTTAAAATTACACCCCCACAAATATAAATGCAACAAACTCCAACCTTTTTGACCAAGTTGTTACATACACTGATACACTACTGTAATGTTATATATAACCCACACCTTTATTTACAGTTCTCTCTTCTCTGACATAGTAATTACAAGCATTTTCAAACTTCACTAAAGAGCCTAATATCAACCAATACAAAGATAGTGAATTTCTCAAAGTGAATCTATATAAAAATACCCCCCTCTACGCGTTGATAGTGTAATTTGAACTCCTAACGTGACAATTAAATTGGATCCGATATACTAAATAACCATCATAATTCACCCTCAAAATTACTAAAGTTCCCATCTTTCACCACCACCGTCCACCGTACAACAACACCCATTAAAATCAATCAAAATACCCAAAAAATAAAAACTTTGGTAAAGAAAAAAAAAAGTCAATGAATTAAATAAAAATTGCGAAGAAAAATTGAAACCTTGAATAAGCAATGATCGATTGAGAATTGAACATCCTTAAAAGCGTCGCGAGCGCGGCGACGAGCAGGAGCTTGATCCATATTAGCGTCGAGAATTTTCTTAAGGTCGTCGGAAATGCCATTAAATTTCGACGATAATGGAGATGTCACCATTGCTGACACTTCTCTGCTTTTCTTCTTCTTCTTGCTCTGTTTTCTCTCTCCTCCACCCACAACAAAACTGCAGCAATTTATCCCAATTCTTCGCTCTTTACCTACAAAACCCCAATTTTTTATTTTTTTTTGAAAATTATTAATAAAAATAAAAACTTGAGATAAAAAAAAAAAATTATTTAAATTGGGTAATTATATTTTATTTAAATTACCATCGTCAAGAGGAGATTGGTCGTTGTTGGTGGAGTATGACTTAGCCAAATTCAACGCCATGTTGGAAAAGGAGGAATTACTATAATTAGAAAATTAAATTAAAAAAAATTAAAAAAGGAGTTTTTGGAAAGTTTTGTGAGTGAATGATGGTGGAGATAAAGAGAGTGGAAGTAGGAAAAGGAAAAAGATTGGATAAAGGGGGGTGAGCTATGGTTGCATGAGTAATAAGCAAATTGGGAAAGTTGTGGAATTATCAAATTCATCAACAATCATATTTATACCCTAATAGTTTTGGAGATTGGATGATTTTTTTATTTTATTTTTTGCCATTGGAGTGTGTTTCGAGAATTTTTTTATTGTTTTTTAGGGGAAAAAATCTAATAAATTTAAGGGTGAGGATATTGGATGATTTAGTTGGTGCCATTGGTGGTGTAAGAGTTCTTTGTAGTTATTAGTTGGATTTGCTACATCAATATTTCCATCAACCATGCATCAATATTTCCATCAACCATTCAACATTAATGATTTTTTGATGGGAAATTCAATATTTGATGGAATTTCAAGTTGCTTTATCAATTTCCATGGATATCGCTCTTTTATTTTGATATATACTGTCCTCTATTTACAAATAATCGTTCTGTTAGATTTGTACACGTATATTAAGGAGTTTAGTAGGGCAAGTGAAAATGTAAGAGAAAAAAAGTTAGTGGAAGAGTCCACATCACAAGATTTAAGTAAGTAATACTTTGTAGTTGTTAAGAAAATGTCAAATGAAGTTCACATGAGTTTGGAGCACAATAGCTTATAGCTCATCACATGAGCTATATTTAGGACAATAATTTGTATATAAGTACAATTATGTAACATACTTTATGGGCAATATTTGCCTATAAATAAGTTCACTATCTTGTGAACTAGTGGTGTAAGAAGAAAAACCGACATTCTCTAATTGCTCTTTTGCTCTCTTCCATCTCCATCATCATAAAATATACAATATCATAGTTACCTCTTAACATGTTATCAGCACCAGTTACTAGTCAGGTATATTTATACCTACTTCTCAAAATTATAACAAATAAATACTATCTACTTCTAAATATTTTGAGGAGTATGCTCTATAGTTGCCCATATTTTGGGATCCTCTATACCAGAAACTCAAACATTTATTATATCATATATTTCAAAACAACGGTGAAAAATATCCTTACTTATGAATTTATTACTATCTTGCCTTGTTTTATTTATGTTGGTATCTTGGTTTATGTTTGATTCATACATGTTGATATTACATACTCACCTTCTATGTAAAATTTAATTTTAGTAATTATAATTAGTAGTAACTTTGCATGCATATTATTAACTAAATTGACAAAAAGATGCAGCCTTTTATACTTATTATTTTTCTTTCTTTTACGAACTTTTTGTGTTTCTTTCAGTTTTCGAACCCATGATCTTTTATAGATATTAGGGCTCTCGGACCACTATGGCTTGCATTCCCAGTGTGATAACCTTTTACAATTATAAATACTTATATTTGAATCATAATTTTGCCAGTACATTAAACCATTATATGATATTTTTACAATTGTACAAAACAGTAACAGATAAACCTACCTCTATAAAAGGTAGAATTTCCCCCGATTTTCACCACAAATCTCTTATCCTCTCTTTATCCAAAAATCACCCAAAAAGTATTCACCCCTTCTTCTCCAATATGTTCCCCGACGGCGACCAAAACATCCAAAACACCCACACCTTCACCTCTGAGGAAGATTTAAAGAAAATAAAACAATATTTTCTCCTAATTACGGCGCCTGTAGTTCTGTTAGTAGCAATATTAATTTTTGTCATAATGTACAAGTGAAGTTTGTTTATTTTGTCGGTTAAAATCATGTTTTGTTTTATTATGTTGTTTTGTTGTTTTAAATCATCATTGTATAATATTACCATTATTATTATAATTATTGTTACTACTATTGTTGTTGTCGTTTTGCTGTTTATACGACTAATATGATTTTTTTTGCATAGTTATATAATTACTCACAATAATAAACCAAGGGGGGGGGGGGAAGAACTATTTTATTTATGTCTTATTATTGTTAAAAAAAAATGAATTATCATGTGTTTCATTAACAAACTAAAAATATGGAAGAATTAAACACATGTGATATACGTATGATTATAAACTAATTATCACGTAATTTGTTGTAGTTAAAATGGGAGATCTTGTGAAAAGACAATTCAGCATTCTAGATTTATCTGGAAAGAAATTTTTGGAATGGAAAGTGGATGCCATGATGAATTTAAAAGCTCAAGGGTTGGAGCATACTGTTAATAAAAGTCCCCCTGGTCAAACAACTGATACTACCACTTCTGCAATGACGGTTGAAAAACCCATTACCGAACAAGAAAAGGCAAAAGCCTTAGTGTTACTAAGGCATCATTTACATGAAGGCCTTAAAACTGAGTACATGATGGTTGAAGATCCCAAAGAATTATGGGACTGCCTTAATGAAAGATTTGGACACCACAAAAGGGTGCTCCTCCCTAAGGCATTATTTGACTGGACAAATTTACGGTTCCAGGATTTCAAATCTGTAATAGATTACAATTCAACCATACATGAGATAGTATCTATATTGAGATATTGTGATCATCCAATCACCGATGAACAAATGATTGAAAAAACACTCACTACCTTTCATGCAAGCAACATATTGTTGCAAGAACAATATCGTGAAAGAGGTTTTAAGAAGTTTAATGAATTAATAAGTGTATTGCTTGTTGCGGAACAAAATAGCGATCTTTTGTTGAAAAATCATAATCTCAGACCAACTGGGTCTTTGGCCACTCATCATGAGGCAAATGCAACAAGTTCTTATCCACTCGAGGCAAATGCTGCACGAAGAGGTGGACGTGGAAATTACAATGGCCGTGGGAAAGGCCGTGGAAATTATCGCGGACGAGGCCGAGGACGTGGTAGAAACAATTTTCAAAGAAACAGTAATTTTGAAAATTTTGAAAAACAGAAGGGACAGTCATCTGGAAGCCACAAACAAACTCTTTCAAAAGGAAAAGACACATGTTACAGATGTGGCATGACAGGACATTGGGGACGTACTTGTCGTACGGCCAAACATTTGGTAGACCTTTACCAGGCTTCTGTAAAAGGCAAAGAGAAAAATGCAGAAGCAAATTATGTTACTGAAGAAAATGCTCCATGTCCTACCCTTGATGTGTCCGATTTCTTCATGGACAATGCTGAAACTGGGAATGATTTCATCTTTGGAGAAAATAACAATGCTTAATTAACCCATCAACTGATGTAATATATACTACGTTTTAATGAATTTTCTGATATGTATTTTAAATGATTAGTCATGTACTCTTAATTTCTATCATAAATAAAAGTTTGTATGATATTATTCTAAACTAATCTCATATTTATTTTATGAAGATATGGATATACCCGAAGTTGGTTCCGAATATCATTGCCTTTTGGACAGTGGAACAACACACACTATCTTAAAGGATAGGAAATATTTTTCACAACTAAAGTTGTTTCAGGCAAATGTAAACACTATCTCCGGGTCAGCAAAATTAATTGAAGGATCTGGAAAGGCTTGTATAATGATTCCAAATGGAACAAAATTGATGATCAATAATGCTTTATATTCGAGTAAATCTCGAAGAAATATCATAAGCTTCAAAGATGTACGCTAAAATGGCTATCATCTAGAAACAATGACAACAGATCAAAAAGTGTATATATGCCTCACGGCAGAAAAACATGGCAAGAAACATATATATGAGAAATTGCCAGCATATTCTTCGGGGTTATATCGTATAAACATACGACCCGTGGAAATCAATATGGTATCTAACCAGAAGTTAGATGACAAACATTTGATTATTTTATGGCATGATCGTTTGGGACATCCAGCAACTGGGATGATGCAAAGAATAATAGCGAATTCAATTGGACATACAATAAGGAATGCCAAAATTCCTCAATCGGATGAATTAACATGCTCTGCATGTTCACTTGGCAAATTAATAATAAGACCATCCATGAACAAAATTGCTATTGAATCTCCAAAATTCTTGGAAAGAATTCAGGGAGATATTTGCGGGCCAATTAATCCGGCATGTGGACCATTTCGATATTTTATGGTTTTAATTGATGCTTCCACACGATGGCCACATGTCAGTCTGCTTTCAAGCAGAAATGTTGCTTTTGCAAAATTACTTGCCCAAATTATCAAATTAAGAGCACAATTCCCAAATCATACAATAAAGAAAATAAGGCTCGATAATGCTGGGGAATTTACATCCCAAACATTTAATGATTATTGTATGTCAATTGGAATTGATGTTGAACATCCAGTAGCTCATGTCCATACACAAAATGGTTTAGCTGAATCACTAATTAAGAGATTACAATTGATTGCAAGACCATTATTAATGAGGTCAAGATTGCCATCATCTGCTTGGGGACATGCTATAATACATGCATCAGCGCTAATTAGATTGAGACCTACAACTTATCATAAATTCTCACCACTACAACTTGTTTGTGGTAGAGAACCAAGTATCTCACATCTAAAAATCTTTGGTTGTGCTGTATATGTTCCTATTGCTCCACCCCAACGAACAAAAATGGGTCCACAAAAAAGGCTGGGAATTTATGTCGGGTTTGAATCCCCATCTATAATTAAATATCTTGAACCATTGACTGGTGACTTATTTACGGCTAGATTTGCCGACTGTCACTTTAATGAAGCAGTATTCCCAGCCTTAGGGGGAGAGAAAGTGGACCCACACAAGAAAGAAATAGAACTTATTTGGAATGCAACACAATTGTTGATGTTAGACCCACGAACAAATATGTGTGAACAAGAAGTCAAGAAAATTGTTCATTTACAAAGTGTTGCAAATCAATTGCCCGATGCATTTGTAGACACAAAGAAGGTGACAAAATCACATATACCAGCAGAAAATGCCCCTGCACGTATTGAAATCCCAACTGATAATAAGGCCATTGAGAATGAATCTCAAGCACGCAGAAAGCGTGGGAGACCACTTGGTTCAAAAAATTCTAAACCAAGGAAACTAAAAAGATTGGATGGATAGAAAATGAGACTAATAATGTTCCCCCGTTAGAAGGTCAAGAAAGACCAAATGTGGATGAAAGTAAAGAAAATGATGATAATCCAAAAGGGGACGAACAAGAAGACAACCCTACGGGAAATGAACAAGACGTTCAAAACGTCGATAACAATGAAATTTCAATGAATTACGTCTCTACCAAGACTCATTGGAATAGGAAAGATGTTATCGTGGATGAAATATTTGCAAATTCCATCGCAATCGACATTGTGTCTGATGAAAATGATGTTGAACCAAGGACAGTGGAAGAATGCCGACACAGGAGTGATTGGCCAAAGTGGAAGGAGGCAATGCTGGCTGAGTTGAAGTCACTTGAAAAACGAGAAGTTTTCGGAAAAATAACCCTTACACCAGCAGGTGTAAAACCCGTTGGATACAAATGGGTATTTGTAAGAAAACGTAATGAGAAAAATGAAATAGTTAGATACAAGGCAAGACTTGTAGCCCAAGGATTTTCTCAAATTCCAGGGATTGATTATGAAGAAACATATTCTCCAGTGGTTGATGCAACTACATTAAGATTTCTGGTAAGTTTGACAGTCACAAAAGGACTGCAAATGCGATTAATGGATGTAGTGACTGCGTATTTGTATGGGTCACTCGATACGGACATTTACATGAAAGTCCCTGAAGGACTAAAACTACCAGAAAACCACAAGCCTAGACAATTACTTTCCATAAAACTAAAAAGGTCACTTTATGGATTGAAACAATCTGGAAGAATGTGGT